CCCATTGTTCTTTCAAAAAACATGGATTTCTAGTATGTGAGCTCATATATTAAGGCCTGTATATTCAGAGATGAAATTCATACATGACTACAAGAAGATGATAACAAAAGCAAAAAGAAGTTTGATACTGAGCCTGTATGATATTTGGCAATTTTAATTTTTTTAATACCATTTTAAAATCATCTTCTTTTCTAGCATCATATATTTATGATGTTCATGTCATATATGAATTATGCACCATAATAACAAAATGAACATTTGTATAGCTACCACTAAATTCACATACTAAATTTCATCTAAAGCTCTTTGCAGTGAGACAGCATGTTCACATAACCAACCGAATTTCCAGATATTTCCTCCAAACTCTTTATTCTAGTCAGACATACTTGGAAAAGGCTTTTTCTACAAACTTTAAGCATCCAAGTAAACAACTCCTCTTACCTAAAAGAAACAGAGATTTGAGGGAATATTCTATTTGCTTAATCTATTTCTTACAAACACTGCTATAGAACCAAAGAGCTTCCCCTTAAAATTTTTAAATAATTTCTGAAAATAGTAAGAGTTCATATGAATAGATGAATGAAAGTGCTAAAAAGTACTTTCAAATGTTGTCATGGAAACTTAAAATTCTTTGAAAAGGATTTATATTATCTTTCATTCTAGTAAGAAACACATTATTTTACTCTGCATTTAAAAATAAGATTTAGAATTATGATTTTAAAAGTTAGTACTTGACACAAGATCCTTCTCTTGAGCCACACCACCAGTCCATTTTGCTTTGGTTATTTTGGAGATGGGGTCTCATGAACTGTTTGCCAAGGCTGTTCCCCCCTCAGATCCCCGCCCCACCAGCATCCCAAGCAGCTAGGATTATAGGTATGAGCCACCAGCTCATTCTCTGTTTCAAGAACATGTTTTAAAATTATGATAAAATACACAATGAAGTAAAATTTACTATCTTAACCATCTGTACATGTACAGTTCAGTGACGTTAAATACATGCACACTGTTGCACAGCCATCACCACCATTTATCTCCAGGACTCTCTTCATCTTGCAAAATTGACTCTTAACCTATTAACCATAACTCCCTCTCCTACCCTCTACATAGCCAACTATCTTTCTTCTTCCTGTCTCTATGAATCTGACTACACTAGGGACCTCATACATGTGGAAATAGTATTTGTCTTTTTGTGACTGGCTTATTTCACCTAGTATAATGTCCTCAACTTTCATCCATGGTGTTGCATGTGACTGGGTTTCATTCTTTTTAAAGCTAAATAATATTTCACTGTATGTATGTACTACATTTTCTTTATCTATTTATCTGCCCATGGACATTTAGATAGCTTTCCCCTTTGGGCTACGGTGAATAATGATGCAGTGAAAGTGGGTGTACAACTATTTCTTCACATTTTGTTTTCAATTCTTTTGTATATGCGTGTGTGTGTCTTTCATATGAATATTAACCCCTTAACAGATATATGATTTGCAATTATTTTCTCCTAGTCCATTGGTTGATTTTTGTCCTTTGGTACATAAAAGTTTTAATTTTAACATAATCCATCTATAATTTTTTTCTTTTTGGTGTTATTTGGTGCCATTCAAGAAATTACTATCAAATCAAATACCACAAAACTTTCCCCTGCTTCCTTTTATAGCTGTAGCTCTTAAGTTTAGGCTTTTATGTGGACTTTTAATTATTCTCTCATACAGATTTGAAAACTTCCTATTTAACCTAAATCATCTCTTAAAGAGAATCTTCTTTGAAATTAATAATTGAGATCTATATATTTGAGATCAAAGGGCCAATGTAGTTCCTAACAGAAATATAACACATGGACATGCTATCAATAAAAATTATCTGTTTCTTTCAAATCAACTTATATTTCAAATGATGAGAAAGATAAGGTATAAAGACCAAAGGGTGAAGGTGCTTATGCAAAAAGCACAGAAAGAATTTCTCAGTGATAATAGTAATACTGGAATTAAATCTTGCTGGGCTCAGTTCTAAATTACCAATCTACAAATAACATGGGTTCTTTTAAGAAATTCAGGAATTTAAATAGGATTGTTACTAAAATAAGGTATTTTAGGCCCCTCTATCAAATGCTTCCTCTCTTAGAATTTTATAGTTTTTCTACTGCCTTTTAAAAGTCATTGTCTTCTCCATCCTCTAGTGTTCCCTCTCTTCCTCCTTCTCCTCTTCCTCTTCTTCTTTTCTCCTTCCTCTCCCTCTCCCTTTCTCTCTGACAGGATCTCACTGTGCAGCCCAAGCTGTGGCATCCAATTCACAATCCCTCTGCCTCAGTTTCCAGAGTGCTACAATGACAGTTGTCTTCCATCACACCCAACCTATTTGTGCTTCTTAATGCTATCTTTATTATTTTTATACTTAACTTATTGACTTATTTAATACACAGCTGACTTCAAAGCCTAAGGATGCTTTTGTAGCTGGGAACCAATTTAGAAGTCTGTTTTATGAAATAATGTGCACTAATTAATACTTCTTGAACATAAACTTTGCACAAAATACTGTGGCCAATACACAAGCAGGATCTTCTTAAAGTAAACCTAAACAAACCACAATCAGAATCACATGCACTCAGATAGACAGTAGCCTAGAAACAAAGTGTGCCAGCAGGAAAGTGAGGGTTATTTCTCCTCAGGGGATCATCAGAGCAGGTTACTTAGCTGATAAGAAACCAGCTCTAGCCTGGCTCTCCAGATGACAGCTCAGGATCAAAACACCAAGACTCACATCCAGTATGTTTGAGAGCACATACTGGAAGATAGTTCAAGACTAGACCTTAGACTTAAGCTTTGAATGCTAGCCTAAAGCATAAAAGATTTTTAAAAAAAATTGTTTTACTACTGATGATTTCTGAGCAACGGATTTGTGCTAACCAAAAATGCTGGAAACAGCAGCTGTACTTCTAGAAGTCAAGAAAGGCTGGAGGTGGGAAGACTATCACATTCCACTGATGGAACAATAATGGTAAGAGCAGCAGCTAACACCATTTTAAAGCAAGTCCCTATTTTCGAGATACTGTTCTAAACATCTCTCATGTATTGACTGGTCATAACAATCCTAGTGAGTTATGTTAGGTACAGACTTATCCCTATACCATAGATAGAGAAAACCGAGGTGTGAAGAGGTCAAATAACTTGCTCGGGGTCTCACAGCCACTAGGTAAAAGGAGCAACATTTTAACCAAATAATCTACTCTAGAGCCTACACTCTTGACCAATCAGCTGTATGTCCTGTCATGTATACATGGCTTCTCATGTCTAAGATTTTGGAAAACCCTGAGAAATAATTTACCTTTCCCTAAGGTACATGATAATGATAAAGGTGATAGTTATGGTTTAAGGTTTTGTAAGGTAAATGTGGGGACACCATATAGAACTAGAAAATGTGTCTTGAGCAGATTAACTGGCACCTCTATATTCAATGCCCACCACAGCCCACTATTCTTCATGCACATTTAATCCTCACAACATGTGAGGAAAGTATTATTTTAAATTTTTTTTCCAGATGAAGAAATCTAGGTTCAGAGAAACAATTATCTTTTACCCCTTGTTAGATAGCCAGTCAGTAACAGAATCAGAACTGGAACTGGAATCCAGATCCACATTAATCCATGCCCTTCCCATTCTCTAATGCTGAAGGCATGGGATGGTACGTCAGGGACACTGCCAGTCCCCTTGCTCTCAGGAGCTCAATCCATCTGAAAGATGCCAGAGCCATGCTAGTGTGTGCATAGCTAAGGTGCCAGGCTGTTTTTCCATCTAGCTAGGGGTTGTACCCGGTAAACGCTTGAGTCAGCCCTTTTCCTAGGAATGAGTCCTGAATTTGGATGGGACAGAGGCAGGCCCGAGGAGTCCTACACCCAAAATACAGACATGAAACTTCAAGGAAGTTCAAATACATGGGCTTGAGGGACCATCCGAAGATGGCACTCCACAAGGAGTGGTTTTAAACCCTCTAAAAGGAACTCAGTGAATGTGGAGCTGAGGATAGCTTCTGGAGACAGTAATCTCAAAAGAACAAAGCGAGGTTTCAGGAAACTGTCTCTGCTGAATTTCTCAGTTAATTCCCATACATTTAACCTCAAGAGTTCCTCAAAATTATTCTTAGAAAAGCAGCTATGACATAATGTTAAATTTAAAAAGCAGAACACAAAATTATATATGCACTAACACATTGAAAAAGAATTGATGGTAGAATTTCAATCCTATTTCTTTATATTTTTTCCTGAATGCTTAAATTTTTGACTTATATATGTGTGTCTGAAGTACTTTTAATCAATACTTGGAAAGAGGGGAAATAAACCAAATTTTACATTGAATGGAATAGCAATTCCCCAATATTCAACAGCACAGCTGGGCATAGTGTCTCACACCTGTAATCCCAGCACTCTGGAGGCTGAGGCAGTAAGATCACTAGTTTGAGGACAGCCTGGGATCCATAGCAAGAGCCTGTCTCAAAACAAAAACAAATAATCAACAGTCTACATCAAAATCAACTGAAACATTTATAAAGAACATCAAATTCAGAGCCCAAAGACCTACTCAGAATTTCCCTAGGAGGGTCTTAGAAGTCTACTTTGTTTTCTTTTGTTGTTGAGTAAAGGTTCTGAAATAATCTATTTTGGTTGTTATTGTTGTTTTATTTTTTGAGATGAGATCTTGCTATGTTGCCCAGGCTGGCCTCAAAGTGATCAGGCTCAAGTGATCCTCTTACCTCAGCTTCCTCAGGCTGGGACTACAGGCATATATCACTATATCCAGAGAATCCAGAGTCTAAATTAGCTCCCAAGGTTGATGCTAGTATTTTTTTATTAGGAAATCCAATTTGTTTCTCTTCTCTTTTTCTTTTAAAGGCTCTCTGGTGGTGTATGTAATACTGGGACAAATTTATATTGGAATGCAAATGCATAATATTTCATAGTGAGAATAGGTAGCTAGAGAGTAGATGTGGATAGCCTAAAATCTCACCATTCGTCTCTGCAAACTTCTGGACTTCACTCAAGGTTTTCAATTCTTGTGTTGGACATGCTGCTACACACAGCGCTATAGACTTGATCTTCCGGTTTATCAAGTCCAGATTGCATGGATCCAAAAAGAACACATACCTAAAGCATGGAGAAAAAACTGAGATATTATTTTGTAAAACACATTCTAGTTCACTGCATTATTTGACTAAACCTAAAAGCAAAGAATATCTATTTCATATGCCTTCACAATAAACACTGCACAAATCTAATTAGAAGTGAATTTACAAAAAATAACTATTTATAAATAAAATGAATATAACAGTGGGAATGGGATAATTGAATGGCTTACAGTTTTTTTTTTTTTGGCTCAAGCTGTAGAGTGTGTACATTTTTTTTATTTTATTTTATGAATATATGTGCATACAACGCTTGGGTCATTTCTCCCCCATGCCCCCTCCCTCTCACCCCTGACCCCCTCAATACCCGGCAGAAACTATTTTGCCCTTATTTCTAATTTTGTTGAAGAGACAGTATAAGAAATAATAGGAAGGACAAGAGTTTTTGCTAGTTGAGATGAGGATAGCTATACAGGGAGTTGATTTCCTATACATGTGTGTTATCTTCTAAGTTAATTCTTCTTGAACTAACCTTTTCTCTAGTACCTGGTCCCCTTCTCCTATTGGCCTCAGTTGCTTTTAAGGTATCTGCTTTAGTTTCTCTGCGTTAAGAGCAACACATGCTATCTAGTTTTTTAGGTGTCTTACCTATCCTCACCCCTCCCTTGTGTGTTCTCGCTTTTATCATGTGCTCAAAGTCCAATCCCATTTTTGTGTTTGCCCTTGATCTAATGTCCGCATATGAGGGAGAACATACGATTTTTGGTCTTTTGGGCCAGGCTAACCTCACTCAGAATGATGTTCTCCAATTCCATCCATTTACCAATGAATGATAACATTTCATTCTTCTTCATGGCTGCATAAAATTCCATTGTGTATAGATACCACATTTTCTTGATCCATTCGTCAGTAGTGGGGCATCTTGGCTGTTTCCATAACTTGGCTATTGTGAATAGTGCTGCAATAAACATGGGTGTGCAGGTGCCTCTGGAGTAACCTGTGTCACAGTCTTTTGGGTATATCCCCAAGAGTGGTATTGCTGGATCAAATGGTAGATCAATGTTTAGCTTTTTAAGTAGCCTCCAAACTTTTTTCCAAAGTGGTTGTACTAGTCTACATTCCCACCAACAGTGTAAGAGGGTTCCTTTTTCCCCACATCCTCGCCAACACCTGTTGTTGGTGGTGTTGCTAATGATGGCTATTCTAACAGGGGTGAGGTGGAATCTTAGTGTGGTTTTAATTTGCATTTCCTTTATTGCTAGAGATGGTGAGCATTTTTTCATGTGTTTTTTGGGCTTACAGTTTTCATAATCTATTTTTCTAATATTTACAATTTAATAATATGTACATACAAATTTTTATCATCAGAAATCATGTATTTTAGTTTTCTTATTTTGTCAAACTTGTACCAAAAAAACTTGAACTATCCCAATACTCTATAAAACATGAATTAGTTTCTATACAAACTATGAACTTTAATTAATGAATATATAATAATCAAAATGAGTATATAAATATGAATATATGTATATTAATCAATGTGTATTGAATTGGACAAAGTAGAGTAGAAAGTAGAGAAAAATACACAAACATTTTTACCATCTCTGGGTGTCAGAATAAATTTTTAATTTTCTTTCACTTTTCAGAATTCTCACTTTCTAGAAAAAAATGTAGATTACTTTTGAATTGAAATAACTCAATAAAAACTGTTTATCAAAAAGGTTCTTAACAGATATACACAATAACCCCCACATCCTAAATTATCCCCTCTGTATATTACATGTTTGTACTTTTTTCCTTTTTTAGCTATATTGGGATTTGAACTCAGGGCCTCATGCTTGCTAAGTAAGCACTCTATCACTTAAGCCATGCCTCCAATCCTTCATGCATTGGTGGGTTTTTTTTGGTACTAGGGCTTGAACTCAGGGCCTACACCTTGAGTCCCTCCACCAGCTTTTTTTTATGTTAGGTATTTTCAAGATAGGGTCTCATGCAATTAATTGCCCAGGGCTGGCTTCGAACCGCGATCCTCCTGAGTAGCTAGAATTACAGGTGTGTGCCACTGGCGCCTGGCTCCATTGGTTATTTTTGAGATAGGGTCTTGCTTTATGTCTGGGTGGGCCTGGACCAATATCCTTCTATTTTGCTTCCCCATGTAGTTGGGATGACAGATGCATGCCACTGTGCCCAGTCATTGGTGGAGATGGGATCTTGCAAGCTTTTTGCCTGGGCTGCCTTGAACCACAATCTCCTGATCTCTGCCTCCCAAGTAGATTGGATTACAAGTATACACCAGTATTCCGAGTCTCCTGTACATTTATATTTTTTAAAGGGAAGATTAACTAGAAATTATGCACTATAATAGATACTTTTAATGTGATAAACTGAAGAGATGACAAAGTTTGCTCAAAAAGAAAGTGAAGCCCACTCTTAGTTGAGATAAGCAAAGTATAACTCACATATCAAGTGTAAGACTGTAACATAACAGTTAACCTCCACCCTTGGTTCAATCCTACTAAGTCCATGGAAAGGTTTATAAAATCATGTTATCTTTCAACAGCCTTTTCTACAATACAACTCAAAAATCTGTAACAGGAAATATCACCAAATGCAAGAATTAAACAATCTCTCCTCAGCCTTTTGACTATGAGCAAGTAAAGAATCAGGTGAAGAAAACTGAAAAGAAAAAACAGCCAAGTCAATACATGTGTTGCAATGGACACTATAAAATGATACCAGAAAAAAAATCAAAACGAGGGTTGGGAGGGTACAGAGAAGTCTTTGCAAGTAGAACAACACTGTACACATCAGTGTGGTAAGAGGACCAGGAACCCAGGAGGAAGGACAGATACAAACTTAAACAAAAAAAGGCTTTTTTGTCACTCCAAAGCCATTAATGTTTGACATAGATAAATGGAACACAATGACGCCAGGCAAAAAAAGATGTGATTTGAAAGTGGAACTTTTGCAGTTTCCATGGGTAATAACAAGGAGGTGGTATAGGCAAGAGAGAACCATTTCTGACAACCTTTGAGTAGAAGCAAGCTTTTCCTTAGTAATTCTCCTCCATCTGTCCTGGGCATGCCCATGCCTGGGACCCTATACAATGAACTGCACAAAAGCAGATTCTGGACAGAGAACACTCAGATCCTAGAAGACAGGATCATAAAATCTTTGCTACTGCTACCACCACTAACTATTAATAGTGACAAAAATAACAGCAATCAAAATTTATTGAGTACTTACTATGCAGACATTGTGCTAAACTCTTTACACTCTTTAAATGTTGATTCATTTAACCTCACAATAGTGTGGTGTGTTTCTGAGAGGGATGGGAGGTAGGCAGTGGAACTGGTGTGGGAAGAGGAGCTTAATGCATAGTTCTTAGTGATGAGCAATGACTTGAGAAATATGGAGAGAAAAATCACATGACAGTAGAAAAATAGGTTTAAGGAAAAGGAAAGAAAGCCAGAGGCTGCCAGGACCTTGCATTGGTCTAGGGCTAAATCAATGATATCTTTCTAAGAACAGATGCATTATCTAATTGTCCTGCAGGCCTCTGCCTCTACCAAAAGTGTGCCCATCACACGTCTTTTATACTTTAAAACACATTCCCATAATACATACTAGTGACTGGGAAGCAACCTTTTACCAACCTGAACTTGCTCTCTGGTTCTCTCTCTCTCGCTTTTTTTTTTTTTGGAGACTGGATCTTATTAGTTTCAAACTTGCAATCTTCCTACTTCAGCCTCCTAAGTAGTTGAGATTACAGGTGCATGCCACAGCAGCCAGCTTCTGGTTCTCTCTCTTAATTGTTCTCTGACCTTGGAAAATATATTTATCCTTCTGAGCCTCAGCTTTCTTATTTTTACTGCATACTATCTATTTTGTAGTTAACTGTGAGGTTAACATAGTGATTTATATCATTGTCATCAAGAAAATGATTGCCTTGGCTGGCAGAGTGGCTCAAATGGTAAAAGCGCCTGTCTAGCAGGTGTGAGGCCCTGAGTTCAAACCCCAGTGCTTCCAGAAAAGAAAAAATAAATAAAAGGAAAGAAAAAGAAAATGATTTCCTTTTAACAATTTACATTTGATAGTAAGACACTAACCTCAACATTTTCTGGTATGGACATAAAAACAGGACTATAAAACTTTAACTAATATTTAGTTTTCATTTGGAAGAAAAATCTGCACAGAAGTGTTTATGACTGTGAGGTCATTAGCCTCGATGAACTAAGTAGGCCTCCAGAACAGGTCTAACCAGAGGAAAATAGAGTTCAGAGGAATTCTACCACAGCTAAAAGCACTGTGAAATTAATGCTGTACCTTTTTTGGCTTGTGTATGTGGTTTGGGAAAATCCACAAGCAATAAAACTAAAATATAATTTAAAATGGTATCTTTAGAAGTTTATGCTCACAAACATACATACACACACTTACACTCCATACCTTCCCTATCTCCACGATCTAAGAAGATATTAGATTCAATTCTCTACACACACACTCATGGCCCTAGGTTCAGATTCTGTTAATACTTATTGGTTGATGAGGTATGGGGTATTGTCACTTCCATGACCCAATTTGAAACTCACAACTCCATGATGCAAAGGTCATCCCCATCACACAGACAACAAAATTCAGGCCTCACAGGACTAATGACATGGCCCAAGAGAGGTAGTCGATGTCAAAGAATGAATTAAAGCTGATCCTTCTGATTCTCATTTCTCTGTTTCCGTTCTACCCTCAAAATACTACCTACAAATACCAGTAGCAATTTTAACTGTTCAGCTATTAACCTTCAATATTCTGCTTCTAGCATTCTAAAGATCTAATCTGTATCACCATATTTTTAAATAATAATTATGTTTTAATATTATTTCATAATATTTAACTATTTACAGAGTAGCAAATGTGCTTATATCAAATATGTATACTGACGATTCATCGAAACAGTAGTACTTGCCTTTTGATTTGAAAATGTCCTGAGCCAGGTAAATTTTTGTGTGTGTGTGAGTAAAGTGA